CCAGGTTCGGAGAGTCCCTCAACCGTGACCCTCAGCATTAGGGCTAGCTGCAGGGAGGGCTGAGTGTGCAGATGAGGCCTGTAGGCTCTGACTTACTGCTGGTGGGAGTGGGGATCTCTGATCATCATTAAAAACACTTTGATTTTGGCTGCATTTAGGGTTAAAGTATATCCAGACAACTTTAACCTATCCTTTCCTGACTTGTGTCTGACACTGGTCCCAGGAGAGCCTGCTAGGAGGAGATGCTTCTCTGTCCTAGTCACTAATGGTGATTCTACTTATGTTGTAAACTCAAAACAAACATCTCACTCTGAGTGAACCATCTTGATATTTGTCCAGCAGTGTAAGGGGTTCCACAGTGTTCTCTCCCTACTCCCCCAGCCTGGGCTAAAGGGATAGTGGACAGTTCTATCCCCTCATTGACCCCCATCCCCCATGCTTCCCCCTTCTCCCAACCTAAACATACTCTAGAGATCCTTTTCTTCATAACTGAAAGAAATAAAAAAGTGAAACAAACAAAAAGATTGGAAAAGCAAGCATTTAATGTACTCAATACTAATATGAAGCCAACAGATGAACTAATACATGCCCACACAAAAGAAAAACTCAATTCATTTCAAGTTGGAGGGAGGGGATGGGGGAGGAGAGAGACGGGTGGAGGGAGAGAGACTGGTGTGCTCTCACCCAATAGGCACAATGTGAGGGGATATGGCACACCTCCTAGGTGCAGGACACAACTACAGCAGGGATTTTACTTGATAAAGGCAAACATTGAAACCTAATGGTTTGGACCCTCATATTAATCTGAAATAAAAAAAATAAAAAGAAAGAAAAAGTAGCTGGGTGTTGTGGTGGGTGCCTATAGTCTCAGCTACTTGAGAGGCTGATGCAGGAGGCTTGCTTGAGCCCAGGAGTCTGAGGATGCTATGAGCTAGGCTGACACCACAACGCTAGCCGAAGTTACAGAGGAATACTGTCTCAAAAAACAATAACAACAATAACCAAACAGTTGGACATATATATGTGGTTCTACATGGTATTTCTGGGTTCCATAGATCAACCTATCCCATTGATCCATATGAGTTTATCCTTCTACCAATAACCACAATGTCTTCACTCCTATACCTAAATAGCAAGGCTTAACATGGATACAGGGATTCCTTCCATTGTATTCCTCTCTTTTAAAACTGTTGCAGCTATTCTAGAACAGATGCTGCTGAGCATGCAGAGAAAGGGAAATGCTAGTACACTGTGGGAATGTATTACTAAATTAGTACAGCCATTATGGCAAACAATATGGAGGTTCCTCAAAAAACTAAAAATAGACTATCATATGATCTACCATCTCAATGCTAGGCATATATCTAAAAGAAAGGAAGTCAGTATACTAAAGAGATACTTGCATGCCCACGTTCACTGCAGCACTATTCACAACAGTGAAAATAAGGAATAAATCGGAGTGTCCACTGAAAGATGAATAAAGAAAATGTGAGAAAATTCCACAACTAAATATTATTCAGTCACAAAAAAGAATGAAACCTTATCATTTGCAGTAACATGGATGGAACTGGAGGTCATTATGTTAAATGAAATAAGCCAGTCAAAGAAAGACAAATATTACATGTTCTCACTGATGTATGGGTGCTAGAAAGTTGATCTTACAGAAGTAGAAAGGTGGTTAATGGAGGCTTGAAGGGTGAGGGGCAGATAAAGAGAGGTTGGTTAGTGTGTACAAAAATTCTATTAAATAAAGAAGTTCTAGTCTCAGCACAATAGGGTAACTATAATTTTATAACAATAACATATTGTATATTTCGATACAGCTAGAAGAAAAGATGTGAAATGTTCCCAATACAAAGAAATGATAAATGAGATTATGGATATCCTTATTACCCTGATTTGATAATTATACATTGTATACATGTATCAAAATGTCACATGTACCCCATATATATGCACAGATTATTATCAATAAATAATGAAATAAGAAAACATCTAGAAAAAATTATCAAAAGTGACTCAGACTGAAAGAGGAAATTCAAAATATCCTATTTAAATATCCTTATTTAAAATATTAAAAAAAATTGAAAAAATTACCAAAAGTGACTTAGACTGAAAGAGGAAATTCAAAATTCAAAATATCCTATTAAAATATCCTTATTTAAAATATTAAGTAAGTTGAATCAACAGCTAAAAAATATCTCCACAAATAAAACACTAAGGAGAGAGCTACCAAGTACTGGAGGTTCAGGTAATTCTAATCTCCAGAGATGAAAAAGAGAAAACTCCTGAAATTGTAACTATTAAAAGTGATTTTTTTCCCTTCATCTGCATCATTATATGAAATTTTGTATTTAACTTACTTATGTTGCAATATTACTGTAAAATAAGTCATTCAATGCATTTAAATATTTACTTACAAATATACATAATTTGACACAAATGAGGATGTCATCCTATACATCCAATTTATATATATATACATATACACACACACACTCACTTTTATTTTAAATTAATAAGAGGGTACAAATTTTTAGGTTATCCTGTTCTCACTTGTAAGGTAAAGTTCAAGTTGTAGTTGAGCCCTTCACTAGGGGCGTGCTGAACACCATCACCTTGTGCACATTAGGTGAGTGTATTAAATGTTATTTTAACTTTAGCAACTTTTTTTATTCCTTTGAGTTGGGGTCTCACTATGCTCCCTAGGCTGGCCTCAAACTCCTGGGCTCAAGTGACCTTTCCACCTCAGCCTTCTGAGTAGCTAGGACTATAGGTGCAAACCACCATGCCCTATTTTAACCTTAATTTCAAAACCGTAACAAACGGGAAGGGAATATCTTCAGACATTCTCACTCTTGAAATAGACACAAAATTCTAACCAAAATATTAGCAAGACAAACCCAACAATATGGAAAGTAGGAAAATACATCATGTCCGAGTTGGCTTTACCCAGGAATGCAAAAGATTTCCAAGCCCTGGCTTTTGCAACAGGGTGAATGGTGGTGCTGCTCACTGAGAAAGGAAGCACAGGAGTTTGGGGCTAAGATCACAAGAAGGACTGTGCACCGAGTGCAGGGAGTCTGTGAACACCCAGGTAGGGATGTGTAGGCAGCAGCTGAGAATTCTTGTATAGAGACAGAGCACCGAGAATCACCAGGGAGAGAAAAATTCCAAAACAAGAATGACTTCAGTCATGCAATGAGAAGAAGGGAGCTGAAGAATCCAGTCACTGGAGTCTACTAGGACAGGGTAGACTCAAGGTGGCTTGCTTCAGGATGTAGTGAGGGAAGAAGCCAGACTGTTGTGGGCTGATGTGTCACCAGAAATAAGAATAGGGGGTGTGGCCTATGCTTTCAAGAAAACTGGCTGCAGGATGGCGCCCATAGCTCAGTGGGTAGGGCACTGGCCACATATACTGAGGCTGGCAGGTTTGAACCCAGCCTGGGCCTGCTAATACGATGACAACTGCAACAAAGAAAATACCCAGGTGTTGTGGCAGGCGCCTGTAGTCCAGCTACTTGGGAGGCTGAGGCAAGAGAATCACTTAAGCCCAAGCGTTTGAGGTTGCTGTGAGCTATAATGCCATGGCACTCTACCCAGGGTGACACAGTGAGACTCTGTCTCAAAAAGAAAAAGAAAAAGAAAACAGGCTGAGGAGGAAGCAGAGAGGGTGTAAAACAAAGAGAAATGCTGATTAGAGGATTCAAATTTGTAGACCATGGAGTCTGGAAAAGGAAAGAGAGGGTGGTAAGAAAAAAATACAACATAATTCTTGTCCCCTTTCCAGAAAGGAGAGATTTACTATTCCTTAGTCACAGTTCCAAGGCATTCTAACTGATCAGAGATGACTCGCTTCATAAGTTAATCGTGTTTCTTTTTCTTTTTTTTTTTTTTTTGAGACAGAGCCTCAAGCTGTCCCCCTGGGTAGAGTGCCGTGGCATTACAGCTCACAGCAACCTCCAACTCCTGGGCTCAAGCGAGTCTCCTGCCTCTGCCTCCCAAGTAGCTGGGACCACAGGCACCCGCCACAACGCCCAGCTATTTTTTGGTTGCAGCCGTCATTGTTGTTTGGCGGGTCCGGGCTGGGGATTTGAACCCGCCACCTTAGGTGTACGTGGCTGGCGCCTTAGCCGGTTGAGCTATAGGCGCCGAGCCGTGAATCGTGTTTCTGAAAGTGAGCAAACAGCAACAGCCCAGGCCAGTGACTACACTCACATAGCTAATGTTGAACCAGTCCCTGAAAGCCTCCAAATTCACCCAAAATGAAGGAGGTGAGAAATGGAAAGTACGCAGCAAGGCCTCAGAGGACACAAGTATGAACAGCTCAAACAGGGGTGTGGAGCTTGGGCAAGAGGCACTGCCCTGCCCTGTGGGAAGACAGGAAAGGAGCTGGCTGACAACAGCAGAGGCTGCAGCAGCAGCAAGACCCCTTACAACTACCCTTTTGGATCATGTGCAAAGAGAACTGGAGACTTAGAGAAGCCACGTGATTGGTGTAAGAACTGGGAATCAAACTGTATTTGTCCTACTACAAGGGTCATGCTCTTCAACATGAGGCCACGCTGCCTCCCATTACACCTCTCTATCCTCCTCTAAACTCTGACAGCACTTAGGGTATCTCTCATCTGCCCTCACCCTGGCTTGTGCTGGTTAAACATGTGTTAGTTTCATTCATTCCCCTTACTCACTCCAGAATTCAAGGGTTTTCTGTAGCCCTACAGGGTTTTATACTGCAAGTGCTGACTGAAGAAATGAATGCATCTGTAATCACTACATTTGTTAGGTCAACTTGCTTTCAAAAGTGCTTTCCTTCATAAGTGATTTAAGTCACCCCCACTACAATCTTCTTTACAGTTGTGTATGTTTAGCATTCCTTTGTCACAGTAGGAAGGCAAAGCAACACTGCACATTGCATCGACCACAAATTAGTGAATACAATCTTCACTAAAAGAGATTTCTCCATCTCTGCAAGTATGAGACTAAAAAGCACTTTTTACCTGAATTTTGATGGGCCAGGTGAAATTGCTGACATAAACAAAGAATGTGATATTTGGGTGGTTGCGAAAATCAAACTTCTCGTTAGAAAAGCTATCTTTGTACTCCTTAATGTTGGTTTTTGAAACAACAGGCATCTCTTCTCCAGCCTGGGTTCCAGCTGTTGAAAAGAAAAGAATAACACAGAAGAGGCTTTTGTTTGTTAGCAGAATCTGCCTTCATTAATATTAAGAACAAAAGTTAGCATTTACTGAATTCTTCCTATTTTCCAGGAATAGTCTTCAAGAGTTCAATCTCAATGATCCCCCACAACCCAGGAAAATAAGTTTCAGAGAAATTACTTAACTTGCTTATGGTCACCCAGCCAGCAAGAAATGGAGCTGGGATTTAAAGCTGGGCGGGATGAAACACAAGCCTATGCCCCAGAATGGTTTTACCAGGAACCCCTGCAACTCTCTTATCAAACCCCTTCAAATAGCAGACACCAAAAGAATCCTATTGACAAGCACTGACATTCATTCTGTCCATCAGTCCTCAATTCCTCAGCATTTCCCTTTTTAGCTCATGACAATGCTCATTCTGAAGCATGGATGTAGATGATAAATGGCAGTGGCCATGGCAAGGGTATAATTGGTGGTAGTGACACAATCCTGACACATTGGTGAGCTCTGGCAGATATAATCTAATTTAATCTATATTACAATTCCAGGAGGTAAATATTGTTATCTTCACTCTACAGTTGAATAATCCTAAAGTACAGAGAGAGGTTTGGGCAGTAGCTCAAGGTGTCACAGCCAGTAAGTAATAGCAAAGCTGGGTTTCAAATGGATCTGTCTGTTTCCAGAGCCCCTATCTCAATTCCTATATTATATTTTCTTAATCCATTACCTCCACTTGGATAGTCCTCTGTAAGTATGTCATTACCTGAGAAGCTGGCAGCCCAGGTGATGTTGAGGTTGAAGTTTTTGGAGGCATTGATGAACATGTCCAAATCCCTGTTTTGCTGATGAGAGGTGTAAATAATTAGAAAATTTATTATAGTAGTCTTCAGATTTTATTTTATGCATTTATTTTATTTTTTTTTTTGAGACACAGTCTCAATCTGTTACCCTGGCTAGAGTTCAGTGGTATCATCATAGCTCATTGCAACTTCAAACTCCTGGGTTCAAGTAATCATCCTGTGTCACCCTCCTGCAAGTAGCTTAGACTACAGGCATAAGCCAGGATGTCCAGCTAATTTTCTATTTTTAATAGAGATGGAGTCTCATTCTTGCTCACATTGGTCTCAAACTTGGGAGCTCAAGTGATCCTCTTGCCTTGGCCACCCAGAGTACTAGGATTAGAGGCATAAGCCACTGTGCCTGCTTGCTTATTAATTTTTAAAAAGAAAATAAACAACATCAATTATATCCTGAAAGACTTTGAGCACTTCAACCACTTGCTCATAAATAAGGCAGTAAATAAATTTCATGTGTGGTACTCCTGCTATAACCTTATCATGAAATTTTTTCTCAAAAATTCTATTTAATATAAGCCACTCAAATGATACACCTACAGTTTTCCCATAAAATAATTTCATTTGAAGTCACTTACTATTTTTACTTAAAAAGCCATTCACGCTTGTCAATGTATCTTCTCTAGTATATTTTTTCTAAATTTTATAATGGAAAATGGAGCATTAAAAACACATTCTATTTTTACTTAATTGCGTAGTAGACATATCACACCACGGACTCTGTTTTATTACTTTTTGAAAATATTTAGCAGTATTTATTGATAACTTTTGTCCACCAAGGAATACACTCTAGCTTACTGCCATGTTCTTCTCCATGTTATTATTTGCACTTTTATTGCAAATGGAATTTTTTAATAGCAAATGACTTTGATAAGAAATAAGAAACCTCTAAGGAGGCTCCTGAATAATTTACCATCACATTTAGTAAAATTTCTTTAAGCACGGAGTGAGTACTGAATGTAATCTCACTGAAGGAACTGTATCGGTGTGTCTTCATGACTGGATGCTTCACTTGTAAATGTCTTACTATGTTGGCTTCCTTCTAGGTGATACCTTGTGGCACTCTGGGCTACATTTCAAATAACTGTCTCAACACTTTAAATTACTTCTGGATAACCTCTTGTTGTACCCAACTAACCCCTTGCGGTTTTACTTCCTAATGAGAGACTAAGAACTCATTCCAGAAGCACAGGTGTCATTTTTATAACCTCCCTTGCTGTCTACTTGTGCTTACAACACTGGCATTTCTATTGACAGTGTCATATTTCTTCTCTCTGTGGAGCTCCCCTTGCAATCTCCTCTTCCTTTTTGCATGGGGGTTGTGACAATCTATGTGTGGAACCAATATCATCTCTGTGTCTCAAATTCTGGCAAATCTTATTAATACCATTCTTACCTTTTACATGGAAAGGAGATCAAATGTACATTCTAATTTTTTTTTTTGAGACAGAGTCTCACTCTGTTGCCCTGTGTAGAGTGTCGTGGCATCATAGCTTGCAGCAACCTCAAACTCCTGGACTCAAGCAATCCTCTCATCTCAGCCTCCCAAGTAACTGGAACCACAGGTACCTGCCACAATGTCCAGCTTTTTTCTATCTTTAGTAGAGATGAGGTCTTACTCTTGCTCAGGCTGGTCTCAGCCTCCTGAGTTTAAGCAATCCATCTACCTTGGCCTCCCAGAGTGTTAGGATTAGATTCTAACATTTCTTTCCTGCACCCCTACTGGTCATTCTACTCTGAGACCACTGCCAAGACACTATTTCTACCCATAATGACCAAGAGAAAGATCCCAATAAATTTAAAATGAAATAGAAAGACTTTAAAAAAATCTTACCTCATCAGGAGTGGCCACAAAATTGATGGCTGTGTAATAGCGATCATCTTCCTGGGACAGGCTAAAAGTGAACTGATAGTCAATAAGCAGAGTATCTATAGAAAGAAAAAAATGCATATTTAGATATTAATAAAAAAAAAAAAAAAGAACAGGTCTCTAGGGATTCAGACTGCTTTTCTCATTAATTCAATAACCAAAAAGTACTTTGACTCATCTATACCTAGGTTTTTCAAAGAAAATCAATTTTCAGGGCAGTCCATTTTATTTGGATTAACCTACCAAATCCTCTTTATATTATGACCTTGGTTGAAATTTTACGTTCCACATTAACTCACCTGCAAGTATTAGCTGAACATATGTTACATGCTAAGGATACAAAGACATAAATTAATGGTATAATAGACACCAGGACTCCATGGAAAAATGCTTGGTTCTAGGTCTAGGGCAAGGAAGATAAGCCCTGGTTATTTTACTCCAGCAAGGAAGAAAACAATCAAGACTAATGTGATGTAGCAAAAAAACAAAACAAAACAAAACAAAAACACAGGTTGTAAGAAAGCTTACTGATTGAAGTTGGAATAATTTAATTTTAAAAAAATATTAATATACAATTCAAGAACAAAAAGCCAACCTGATTAAAAATGAACAAAGGGCTTATATTGATTTTTTTCCCAAAGAAGATGGAAAGTGGCCAATAAGCATATGAGAGGATACTCAATATCACTGATCATTAGGGAAATACAAACCAAAACCACAGTAAGATATTACTTCACACCCATTAAGATGGCAACTATCAAAAAACTAGAAAATAACAAATGGTGGTGAGGATGTGGAAAAACTGGAATCCTTGTGCACTGTTGGTGGGAACAAACGGAAATGGTACAGCTGCTGTAGGACAGTATGGTTGGTCCTTGACAAATAAAAATGGCATTATCACATAATCCTGCAGTTATATTTCTCACTATCTACCCAGATGAATAGAAAGCAGGGACTTAACTGATAACTGATGCCCATGTTCATAGTAGCACTATTCACAATAGCCCAAAGATAGATGCAACCCAAGTGTCCATCAATGGATAAATGGATATGCAAGATGTGGTATGTGCATAAAATGAGTTAGCCTTAAAAAGGAAAGAAATTCTGACACATACCACAATATGAATAACCTTGAAGACACGATGCTAGGTGAAATAGACCAGTCACAAAAAGGTAAATACAATATGATTCCCTTAGATTCCACTAGAACAGTCAAATCCACAGAAACAGAAAGTATAATGGTGGTTGCCAGGGTTGGAGGGAGGGAGAAATGGGAAGTTATTGGTAAGTTTATTTTTAACAGTCTAAGAATCTGATGAATGGTTTTATAATGTGGCTACATCATTTACATGCCCACTAGTAGCCCATGAAGGTTCCAGTTTCTCAACATCCTTGCTAAAGCTTACTGTTGGTTTTTTAAATTCACAGGATAAACAAATTTTAATGTACCTGATTACAAAAAGTTCACTGATCTATTTTCCATTTCCACATTTCAACTCATCTTTAAGAAATGACCAGTTACCCAGTTTCAGTATGGTATTAAAGGATAACATCCATACTTATATGAAAAGGCCTTTAAAATACTCCATCCTTTTTCCAATTACTTGTCTGGTGAGGCCAGATTTTTTTCATATATTTAACCACAGAGAAGTACTGCAATACTTTGAATGCAGAAGCAGGAATAAGATTACAGCTGTCTTCTACTAAGCCATGGTATTAAATTCTGATTCTAGCCATCCATCCTAGGGCTGTTCCTCACTGTGGTTTTAATATGCCTATCCCAGATGACTAATTTTTCAATCTGCTTACTGGCCATTGTTATATCTTCTTTGGTGAAATGCCTATTCAAATCTTTTCCTGTTTTTAACTGGAATTGTCATCTTATTCTGTTGGAGTCCTTTACAAATTCTAGGTAAAGTACTGCATCAAATACATGATTTGTAAATATTTTTAGTCTATGGCTTGTCTTTTATTTTTTAATTTTTAAAAAAAAATACAAAATTATAAAAATTTTGATAAAGTCTCATTAACTTTTTTATGAGTTGTGAATTGTATCTAAGAACTCTTTTCCCTACCCAAGGTCAAAAGTTTTGCTCCTGTCTTCTAAAAGTAGGCAGATAGATAGATAAAGTCACATATCTTTAGATAGATAAAGTCACATCCACAGGTTCCAAGTGGACGTGAATTTTTAGGGGATGCTATTCAACTCAGCAAGTATATAGTTACAACAGATAAGCCATACTCTTGTTTCTCTGGTTTCAAAGTAGGGCATGCATGTGGACTGTCCTATAGGAAGAAAATGCATTTACCCATAAAAACCTGGTCACTTGGCCAGATTAACCTTTTATTCCAAGATATTTAACACAAATCAGTTTTAGAGAGAATGATGAAATTAAAACTATTTCTTAAGAATTCTGTTTTTGATCTATATCTTAATATATGAAACAATATGACACAAACCTGGTAATGGCAAATGAAAGTATCAAGAGAACACAAACCAGGAAAGCCAGAGATGGGTATCTCTGTACTCTTCCCTGCTATCTGCCATTAACACATTAACATCAACCATGACCACAATTAACACAGCTTAAAATAGTGCTCATATATGTAGTAATCTTAATAGAATGTAAATGCATCAAGTCAAGGGACACTTTGATGGGTGGTTGCTACATTCCAATTAGTATTCACCATTCTCAAACCATGTTATTAACAATGTTTTACTAAACCACTTTGCTCCCAGAAATAAGAATCACAAAAACACTTACAGTAACATGTTCCTTTCAGAGGGTTTCCCTGGTATCGATTTTCTACCTCACATCTAGGGGGAAAAAGGGAAGATTATTTTTATATTGCTCTTTGAAAGAGAATCTACATTCATTTGAAAACCAAGCAGACCCTTTCTCTATAAAGTACAAAGCGTTTGGAGTCATTATGATTGCACTCTTCAGTGTCACTCAGTTCAGGCAGACCAGGGAGAGAGTGCATGAACTTTCAATGTTTATTGCTCCACAGTCCACACATCAACTACCACATTTTGCCACGTATAATGTGCACCAACATTTTGGGCCCAAACTTTCAGGAGAAAAATCTTTCTTTTTTTCTTTCTTTTTTTTTTGAGACAGAGTCTGTCAGTGGAGTGCTGTTGCATCACAACTCACAGCAACCTCAAACTCTTGGACTTAAGCGATTCTCTTGCCTCAGCCTCCCAAGTAGCAGGGACTACAGGCACCCGCCACAACACCTGGCTATTTTTTTGTTGTTGTAGTTATCATTGTTGTTTTTAGCAGGCCTGGGCTGGGTTCAAACCCACCAGCCCTGGTGGATGTGGCTGGAGCCCTAACCACTAAGAAACAGGCGCTGAGCCTTATTTTATTTTTATTTTTTGAGACAGAGTCTCACTATGTTGCCTTTGGTAGAGTGCCATGGCATCACAGCTCACAGCAACCTCAAACTCTTAGGCTTAAGTGATTCTCTTGCCTCAGCTTCCCAAGTAGCTGGGACTATAGACACCTGCCACAATGCCCAGCTATTTTTGTTGTTGCAGTTGTCATTGTGGTTTAGTAGGCCCAAGCCAAGTTCGAACCCACCAGCCCCAGTGTACGTGGCTGGCACCCTAACTGCTGAGCTATGGGGACCAAGCCCAAGCCTCATTTTAATTATTTATTTATATATATTTTTTGAGACAGAGTCTCACTTTGTCACCCTGGGTAGAGTACCATGGTGTCACAGCTCATAGCAACCTCAAACTTCTGGGCTTAAGTGATCCTCTTGCCTCAGCCTCCCAAGTAGCTGGGACTACAGGTGCCTGCCACAACACCCAGCTATTTTTTGTTGCAGTTGTCACCATAGTCCAGCTGGGCTGGGCTGGGCTTAAATTTGCCAGCCTCAGTGTATGTGGCTACCTCTGTAACCACTATGCTATGGGCGCAGAGCCTCGTTTTAATTTTTTAATTCAAATTTTTATTTGAATGTTTAGATACTTGCTTTTGTATTATAAAGGAATTTTGTACAAATAGCAGCTGGATTGCTAGCTTGGGCCTGAAGTGTACAAAGAGAAATATGTTTGCTCTTTGTTGGCAGAAAATACTGTTGTGTAAGTTGTTATAAGTTCAACAAAAATCTATTATTACATTCCAGGGTCTTATTTTGTATATGGAAATCATCATTGTTTTCTATAGTTACACTTCTAATGTATAAGCATAAAAAAAAGAATTAAAAACAATTATACAGATATGGAATTAGTTCTAACCATGTATAATGTATATCCTATTTCTCCCTCAAAAATTTGGGCAAATAAGTGCACATTATACACTGCAAAATACAGTATAAGAAAACAACTGACAAGCATTTGCCAAAGTACATCAGAGAAATCCAAATGTAATAAATCTAGGTCCTATTTATTATAATGAAAAACACATTTCCACTTTTGTGTGAACTAAAAGTATAGCCAAAATATTTTTCAAGTATTCATTTCTCACTTCTTTCCTATTCTTCTAGGGTAAACAGATCCTGTTCTTAAACACAAATGAGAGAATATTAAATACAAAGAATTCTTTTTTAAAAACCCTTAAGCAGGGCAGTGCCTGTGGCTCAAGGGAGTAGGGCACCAGCCCAATAAGCCAGAGGTGGCAGGTTCAAACCCAGCCCTGGCCAAAAAAACCCCCAAAAACCCTTAGGCAGTGTCCACTAGTCTTCAGAAAAAAAAAAATAACTTCCACTCAAAAGATGATTAATTTCCCCATAGATATCATCTATGAACATCAGCAAAACCCAATTTCCCACTTTTCAAAGCCATTTTGGCAAGCACAATAGCTATGAATTACAAAGAAAGGCAGGAAAAGCTTAGGTGAAGCACTTTTCCCAGGTAAGATAACAGAGGAATAGTGTGTCCTATTCACCTATACAGGGTGATTAGTAGCACTTGCTTATATCTATAATCTCCTAGGAACTTTAAAAGTCTTTCACTGGCCTCATGTCTTTGTTATATCAGCTGAGGACAAGAGTGATTAACTTTATCACCATTTTTCTGTTTAAAGGAACAAAGATCTAAGAGTTAAATTTATTTTTATTTCAAATTAACATGAGGGTACAAATTCATAGGTTACACTGTTCTCACTTCCAAAGTAAAGTTCAATTTGTAGAAGAGCCCTTCACCCAGTGGCATGCCAAACATTCTCACATTGTGTACATTAGGTGAGATGCCACGGATCACGCTCTTCCACCTCTCTCTCTCCTCCCCACTTCCCTTGCTAGACTTTGTGTTTATATTGTTATGTGGGTATGTAATCGTTTATATACTGGTTTCATATTAATACTGAGTACACTCGGCATTTTTTTCCCATTCTTGAGATACTTTACTAAGAAGAATGTATTTCAACTCCATCTAGGTAAACATAAAAATTATAAAGTCTCCATCTTTTCTTATGGCTGAACAGTATTCCATGGTATACATATGCCACAGTTTGTTAATTTAGGGCAACAAAATTAGTAGATTCACTGATAGAAACTTTAAAATGTAGACAGACCACTATCAATGTCTCAATCACTGGTGGCATTATTACTATTGTTCTTTGTGGGGGAGGGGTGTTTACAGTGATGTATCTACTTGTATCAGCTCAATGTTTTGATCTCAAACACTTACCTTAGTTTTTTCTAGAGATAATGAATAAACCTGGATGCATGTGTTTTATGAGGCTTTCCAGCAGGCAGACAAGTGTGTATTAACTGGAGAACAATCTTGTTTGTTTCAACTTACCAGAACACTGAAAACAATTACAGCTAGTCCCACTATTGACAGATAAGGAAACTGAGGCTCAGCACTGTTCAGTGATTTGTCGAAAGAGCACCCTGCTCAGAGAGGCAGGGCCAGGTCTGAAACCTCAAGTCCTTAAGCGTGTCTGATGCCAAGTCTGCATCCTCATGGATGGGGACACCCCTGGAAGATGCTTAACACATGTCACCAAGGAAAAGGGCAGGGAGTAAGATCCTATCTACAATCAGATAACCAAAATGCCAAATAGATACCATCACTAGAACAAGGGCTCTTCCAATTCTGTCCTTCAGGAAAGAGTATAATCTCTTGGACAAAAATCAAGTAGTTGCTTCAATTAGGATGACTAACCCAAATTAGCAACCCAGGAAGTGTCATTATCACTCAAACATAAAAATGTGAATTAGGCCACCATTAAGGAACTGTTGCTAACCTGACGACTTCCTCAGTTTAGGGGTTGACCTGTCTGAAGTAGAAAGGGCAACATTACAAACCAATCAACCCAGGGATCTCTGAGAGCTGACAAGGTACAGGGTAGTGGGTAGCTGGGGTATGTGTGTGTGGGGGGGTGCGGCATGAGGGCAGGCACACAGTGGTATAGGGAATGTGGTACTCACAGCTGGCACTCGTCCCCCTTGACGCCTTTGGTGGTACAGAAGCACTTGCCCGTGTTGGTGTTGCACAGCGACGCATGCCCATTGCACTTGCACGCTGGAAAGAAAGGGGGCGGGGAGTCACAACTGGCTGAACAGATTATGACTACCAGAGATTTTCCCTAAACAAATAATTTTATCTGAATTGGATGTGATAGGAAAGACAGATTAAAATAAGACCATTTAATAAGTAACATTAATGATTTTCCAGCCAATGACAACAATGTAAAGGTAAGACTGAGGGAACCAAAGTCAAAGGACAGGAGCACAGAGACTGCTGTTTCCCATGGCCCCCTGAAGCAATCACTATTCTGATCTTTTCAAGAGACTCTCTTTTTACTATGATTCTTTCATCCATTCAATAAATAATTATGAGGCAATTCCAGTGTGCCAGACACTGGGTGTGGGGACACGGACACAGTCCTTAGCCCATGGAGACACTCTGTAAATAGTACCCTCTGGAAGAAGGGTTGGTCTGACTATTCTCTGCCTTCACTTCTCCACCATAGCCATATTTTCAATCACACCAGGGCTCAGAACTAGGGTTCAGTGTTCTAGAGACCTCAGAGCACGCCACCCTTGCCTTGCCTTCTTTTTTGCCTTTACAGCCATTCCTATACCCCTTCTCTGGCCATCTCAACATATCTCTTTTTTCAGTCAACATATAATACAAGCTATTATAAATTTTATACTCCAGTAGAAATGAGTCTTTTTGCTCAATATGTTTTTACTGTATCACCTGTGCATAAATAAATTAAAGGCATTAAGCTGAAGAGAAGAGGTTGTTTGTTTGTTTTTTTAAAGAAATAGAGTCTGGCGGTGCCTGTGGCTTAGTGCGTAGGGCACCGATCCCATATACCGAGGGTGTGGGGTTCAAACCTGGCCCCAGCCAAACTGCAACAAAAAAATAGCCAGGTGCTGTGAGAGGCACCTGTAGTCCCAGCTTCTCAGAGGCTGAGGCAAGAGAATTGCCTAAGCCCAAGAGCTGGGGGTTGCTGTAAGCTGTGACACCACAGCACTCTACTGAGGACCAGCCTGGGCAACACCATGAGACCCTGTCTCTACAAAAACTTAAAAAAAAGAATTGGCTGGGTATGGTGGTATGCACCTGTAGTCCCAGACTTGGGAAGCTAAAGTGGGAAGACTGCTTGAGCCTAGGAATTTGAATGATCACACTACTGTACTCCAGGCTGGCTAAAAGAGTGAGACCCTGTTTCAAAAAAAAAAAAAAAATTGAATTTATGTTCTAATAATGTTCTCTTGCTCATAGTTTTCAGATGGACATGAATGGGGAACATGGGACTATCTAAATCTTTTAAAATATGCTATAAGTATTGAGGAATCTAGCTTTTGGTTAAAAAACTCTGTGATTTTTTTTTTATACAAGTACTGACACGTTTTCCCTGGCTGCCTCCAGGGAGGTGCCTTCCCCTCAGCACTTGGGGCACACACAATCCTACAAAGTCTCCCAGGAAGTTACAGTAAAGGACCCCAGTCCCTTACTGGACATTCTCTTTCACATATTTACATTCTTAGCCCTGGAGTCTTCATTCCAGTTTTTCCCTATTTGAGGCCATAGGCAGGGGTCTACAGGTGCCTCTGCCAAGGCCTCCCTACTGGGGAAAAGAGGGCAACCCTGAAGATCCTTTCCCCACTCTGTCTCAGTACCTAGGACTTTCCCACTCCCAGCCCTTCCTCCTCCTCCCTGCAACCTCAGGGTCTACAACATCTGGGGCTCCCTCCACTGTGAGACAATCCCCAGGACTCTCAAGTCTGAGCCGATCCACCCAATACTTAACAGGTACCCTATTCCATGAGGGGAAAGGGAACAAGGAGAGTCAGCTCTTTCTCTGGTTTTGGCCCCTTTCTTCTATCACTGTAGAATGTGATTAAAGCCTTAACTTATTTTCAGCTTTTTGCTTTACTCCAGTACCTGGAAGCTCAGCCCCTCTCTCCGCTCAGCTGAGCCCCTGACAAGTAGGACTTAATAAGAAATATAGTAGCTAAAACAAAGTGGCTGTTCTCCTTCTAGATATTCAAGTCAAATAGAAGCACTGTGTTTGATACTGATGCCATCAATAAACCTGATCAATCTGACTTACGCTGACATTTCCCTCCATTGGTGGGATCACCATAGAAGCCAGATATGCAGGTCTCACAGTGCTTGCCCGTGGTCAGGTTTTCACACTTCTCACAGATGCTCTGATTAATGCATTTGCTGTGGCCATTGCACTGGCAGGCTGGAAAAAAGAGAATTTCAAGGGGCCTGTCCCATAGTAGAACTGTGTGGAGTAAATGCAACAACTGTTTCTTTAACATCCTACTGCCTCCAAATATAAAATCATCAAAACTGGTCCAGTAAAAACTAGCTTGAGAAAAATATCAAGAAAGAGCTAGTTCAGGAAAATCAGAAATATATCACGGCAAGGTGATAGCCCATAGCAATATTAAAAAAAAATTTTGTTATTAATTATAAAAAATATGATCATTGATGGTTTATTTGAAAAATAAATGTTATCCTATGAAAAATATAAGGATGGGAGAAACCAGATATAATCCCATTACCCAGTGACCATGGTTAACATTTGGTACCGTTCCTTCCAGTATTTTTCTATACAGTTTTATACCACTATGCTCATGTTAATATTCAATTTTGAATTTTTAACTTAGATCACAATTATTTTATCACATTATTCCATCTATCGCAAATAAAACTTTAAACAGAAGAATGATTTCTGTGAATTGTAAGTTATTTAACCATATATTCTAATATTTAATTTGCTTTAAATTTTCATTAGAAAAGTAACCATCTTTACACATAAATATTTCCACAAGTAGGATTACTAAGATTCCTGATGGATATGGACTTTATAACTAAGAAGACATATAAAGATTGGGATTCTCAGGACTGCTCAGGACAGATATATAGGCTGGGTACTGCAGAACTCGAAGAAGGCTGGGGGTGGGCATTCACCTAGCACACAACCTACATCACTATAAACAAATCTCTGATTTTGTAGACCTATCTTGGTTGGTCAGTGTGATACAGTTTTTCACCATCTTGGCAACTTTCCATAGCCTTGGACCTATTCTGTTTATCCACTTGTTATCTACCCATCCCTGTAGATATCTGAGTTATAAAACTTAAAATGACTGCACCAGTCATGAGTGTGCAAAAGTTACTTAAGATGTGTGGGATTTTCATTTGCTCCTGTGAAGATGAGCAACTATCTGGGGCAAAGGGTAAGTATGACACACATACAAAATGTAATTCCTAAAATCATTTACAAAAAATAATCCTGTATTCTAGCTCATGATTAAAAGATTGAGAAAACACTTCTCATTCACCTCCCTTCAAAATCCCACCAGAATTACAGAAGAAATGTAAAAACAAGGATAACTCAATAGGAGTGTGGGATAAAAGGAAAAAGTGCTTTTAGAAGTATTGAGAGATACTTCAGAAGTAATCAGGAATTTCCAGAAATTAAAGCAGATGGGGCCAATATGACAAAAAAGGGGGAACTAAGACACCTGTACCCTAAATTAGAAGAAAGGACTGCCAACATGACTAGATGCCCTTTATCAATAAAAAAAAGAAAAATCCAGTAGAGAAGAATAGAGTAGAAATAAAAAAATGAGTTTATCAAGGTTGTGTGATATAAGATCAACATACAAACATCAACTGTATTTCTATACTCTAGTGATGACCCATTAGAAAATAAAATTAAGTTTACAATTCCATTTATAATAGCATGAAGAAGAATAAAATATGGGGTGGCTCCTGTGGCTCAAAGGAATAGGGTGCCCGCCCCATATACCAGAGGTGATAGGTTCAAACCCAGCCCCGGCCAAAAACTGCAAAAAAAATGAAGAATAAAATACTTTATATGATAAATTTTACAAAGTAAAAGCAGGGCATGTACACTGAATACAAAGCATTGCTGAAAGAAAGTAAAGAGGTAAATAAATGGACATTCCAGGTTCAAGGACTGGAAAACTTTAATATTGTTAAGATGGTAATATACCCCAAATTGGTCAACAGATTGAACACAATTTCTATCAAATCAGTTGGCTTTTTGTTGTTGTTGTTGCTGTAAAAACTTATAAGCTCATTCTAAAATTTATATGGAAATGTAAAGAACCTAGAATAAAAAATGAGAAAAAAATTGAAGGACTTAGACTTCCTAATTTTGAAGCCTACTGCAAAGCTACAATAATCAAAACAGCGTGATACTGGCATTAAGGAAAAATACATACACAGGACTGGAAGTCTGAAAATGAGACCTTAATTCACAGTCAACTGACTTTCAACAAAGGTGCCAAGGAAAATCAGTAGCAAGAAAAACAATCTCGGCTCGGCGCCTGTGGCTCAAGCAGCTAAGGCGCCAGCCACATACACCTAAGGTGGCGGGTTCGAATCCCCAGCCCGGGCCCGCCAAACAACAATGATGGCTGCAACCAAAAAATGGCCGGGCATTGTGGCGGGCGCCTGTAGTCCCAGCTACTTGGGAGGCTGAGGCAGGAGACTCGCTTGAGCCCAGGAGTTGGAGGTTGCTGTGAGCGTGATGCCATGGCACTCTACCCAGGGGGACAGCCTGAGGCTCCGTCTCAAAAAAAAAAAGAAAAAGAAAAAGAAAAACAATCTCTTCAACAAATAGTGCAGGCAAAAACAGTGAAGGTCTACATACATTAAACTAATTCAAAAGGGAGCAAAGATCTAACATAAGAGATAAATCTATACAGAGCTTCAGAGAAAACACAAGAGTAAATCTTTGTGATCTTGAGTTGGGCTAACACATGGGATAGAAACACTGATACACTGGAGTTAACTGAAATCTAAAACTTTTGATTTCAAAAGATACCATTAAGAAACCCACAGAATGGGAGAAAATATTTGCAAAAGATATATCCAGTAAGGGACTTATATCCAGAATTCCTAAGGACTCTTACAGTTCAATAATGAAAAGATAATACAATTTAAAAACGGACAATTAATTGATATTTCTCCAAAGAAGATATACAAAAGGCTAACAAAATGCTCAACTTTACTACTCATTAGGGAAATGCAAAGCAAAACTACAATAACACTTTTCACCTGCTAGGAATAGCTATACTAAAAAAGATGGATAATACCAAGTGTTAGCAAGAACATGGAGAAATCTAACCTTCATACATTGTTGGTGAGAATATACAATGGTGCAGCTCTTTTGGAAAATCTCAAGTCTATTATTCTTCTTTTCTACTCCCAGGCCGAGGAAACCACTAAATAACTACTTTCTGCCTCTATATATTTGCCTTTTTTTTGACATTTCATATAAATGGTATCATAGAATATATAGTCTTTTGCACCTGACTTCTTTTACATAGCATATTTTTGAGGGTCACTCATCTCATAGAATGTGAGTACTTAATTTCTTTTTATTGCCAACTAGTATTAGATCATATGGATAAACTCATATTTTATTTATCCATTCACCAGCTGACAGATATCTGGGTTGTATTTGTTTTTGCTTATTATGAATAATATTGGTATGAACACTCATGTACAAGTTTCTGAGTGAAATATGTATCCAGTTCTCTTGTGTATGTACCTCAGAGTGGAAATGCTAAGCCATACGACAACTCCGTATTTAACTTATTGAGGAATTGCCAAACTATTTTCCAAAGAAGCTACACCATTAAGTAATTCTATCAGCAATGTATGAGGGTTCCACTTTCTCTACATCTTTGTCAATACCTGTTATTATATATATTTTTTTTATTAGAACTATTTCAGGGGGTTTAAAGTGGTATCTCCCTGTGGTTTTTGTTTCATTTTTTGAAACAGAGTCTCACTCTGTTGCCCAGGCTAGAGTACTGTGGCATCAGCCTAGCTCACAGCAACTTTGAACTCCTGGGCTCAAGCAATGCTCCTGCCTCAGTCTCCCAAGTAGCTGGGACTACCGGAGCCTGCCATGACACTCAGCTAATTTTTCTATTTTTAGTAGAGACAGGACTTTGCTTTTGCTCAGGCTGGTCTCAAACTCCTGAGCTCAGGGGATTCTCCTGCCTTAGCCTTCCAGGGAGGCAGGATTTTAAGTGTTGTGAGCCACTGCTCCCAGCCTATCTTGAGGTTTTAACTTGCATTTCTTTAATGACAAATGATACTGAGCATCTTTTCATTGCTTATAGGCCATTTGTATTTCTTCTTTAGAGATATGATTACTTAAATCCTTTATCCATTTCTTAACTGGCTTGTCTTTTCATTGTTGAGTTTAAAGAGTTATATATTCTGGATATTAGACTCTTTATCAGATACATGATTTGTAAATTATTTTCTCCCATTCTGTGGATTATCATTTCACCTGATATATTCTTGGTATTAACAGAAAAGCACAGATTTAAATACTCCATCAAGAAGTTAATTCCTAATAGATGAGAAACAGAATTACAGATCTCCCAAATCTTAGAGAAAAAAAAAAACACAGAAAATTTAAGACAGTTTAGATAAAAAACCGGTGTCATGTGTTATTTTGGGTTTTCTTGCTCTATCTCCTTTCTAAGAATGGCTTCTTTACATCCCTTGCCCACTTTTTCTGTTGGGTTGACATTTAGCTATTTTTTCTGGAGGGCAAGGGTTTATATATCTACATGATAATCAGTAGTTATGTACTTCGCAGATATTTCTCCCAGTCTCTTGTCTTTCACTTTTGTTTACAAAGGACTTCTTCCCATAAAGAAGTCCTCATAAAGAGCCCTGTTGTCAATGGCACTGTTTGACAGGCTCTTGCAGAAGTCTTGTCCCCTAATCTCTTGGGAGTCTTTACACTTGTCCAGCCTCTCCCAACCATTCTAGAAGCTCACAACCACATTCCCAAGTAGTTGCTTCAAGTCTGAATCAAAGGCCAATTTCTCAAGAGTTGGCGTCTCAGAAACCCACTCCCAGCCCTAATAGGTCCAGGTCCAGGCTCAGGCTTTGGGCCAGCTCCTGGTCTGTTCCTCCCTGTATTAGTCATTAGGAGTGAGTTACACATAAACAATGCAACTTTCAAGAGAATGTAAATTTGGATATACACGACATCTTACCTGGACAATGAATGAAAGACCAGTTGTACCTGCTGTCCTCCAGACACATGCTGGAATTAAGAAGAGGCTGTGGATAAAAATTTCCTGTAGGGGCCTGTGAAGGCATCTTCACTGGTCCTTTGTAAGAACCTTCTATGCATTTTCCTTTGCCAGTATTGCTGGGATCAGTACACCAGCCACAGCCTGGTTGCTCCAAGCAATGACTACAGGTACAGTAGCCTGAACAATTTTCAGCTATTAGGAAAAAAAGAAGTTGCATTCACTACACAAGAAGATCTGAATTTGAATTTATTGTATATAAATTACATTTCTCTTTAATAGACTATTCAACTTTTGTGAGTCAAAATTACTATTCTATTGTGATCATTTAAGTGAGATAATAAATTTAAAGAGCTCAATATTTTGGCTAACACATAATAGGGACCCTTTCCCCCAGTCCCAGAATGTTATAGGCAGAAGAGGCCTTAGAGGTTATCTACTAGAAGAATTTACTGTACCAATTAGGAGATTACGAATGGAGACATGGACTGAATAATATGACAGTGAAGCTGGCAAGTTATTTCTGTACTCTGTGATCTATTCTACATTTATTTACTTTTCATGTGCCTGATTCTGTATGAAGTTCTCACCAGTCTAGACTATCTCAATGGTAGCCTCTGAACAAACCTAAACAGAAGGTCAAGTCCAGTCTTATTTCTAAAATGTTCAGAGGCCACAACCCCTATAGCAGAGTTGTTACCCAGACATAGGGCACATGTGAATGCTTAGAGCTCACTTTTTCACTTACGGGGGCAGCTGCTCATTGTATACCACTCCATACACTGTCCAAAAGGGAAGGAGGCCACGTAGGCATTGGAGTCCACACACTGCTTCATGTTGCTGCACCACATGCACTCAGAGCTGCCGCTCGTGCACTCCCCACATGCCGTCCTCAAGGCACATGGCGTCCGGCACTGTTTGGCACTGTGGTTTGCTGGAAATTAAACACAAGAGAGAGACACTTATAGCTTCCTTCATGTTAGAATTTTTCAAATATGAGTTGTGACCCATTCATGGGTCATGAAACCAATTCAGGGCCTATACTAAATAAAGGACAAAATACAAAACATTAGAGTCATCACGTATTGTTTAGTCAAGTGTATTTGCACACTTGGGGCAAAAATGGATTTTCTTTTCAAAGGACATTAAGAACAAAGATTAGGGAACAAGTGAATCTTTACATAAAGAACAATTCTCTAAAAGTAGAGAGCTAAGCCCCTTAGAAGCTGGGAACTCAAGATGAACTACAGGGGTTTTACAACCCACCTCAATAGCCATAGACTATTTCCCTCTGCTTCTAAAATTCTGAGTTAGACTCTGCTTCATATGCTTGAAATCAATACTCCATCTGTTGTCATGAGTATTTTACATATATTTACACATAAAATATGATTTATAAACTTCTGTAAGGGAGATGTCCAACCTTTTTGAATCCGGACTGCTTCACTGAATTATACCTCCCATGGTTTCTCTCTCAATAAATTTCCAGTAGCACCTAATTCACCTTTGCACTTACCAGGTCTTTCACAGACGCTACCATTGAGTGCGTTGATACAGATTGCTGCCTTCAGTCCCCAGGTACTGGGTTCTGACAAGAAGCCACAGAATCCAGCATCACTGGGCTCAGATGGCATCCACTGTATTAAACTATTTGTAAATGGAGACATATCCTCCCAGCACCAATAGGACACATTGATCTTCCGAAGACCAACCCATGGAGTTAAGGTGAGCTTGGACTATAGGCAAAACAGAAACAACTATGAATCAATCAATGTCTTGATCAAAGAAGGCTTTTAGGTAAAAACACTAAGGCATACCCCACAGATGCAGGAAAACCTCCCTATGTTCTGACTCAACCATGGCAGATTAGGATACATCATCCCTCCCACGTGACCATTTTACAAAGAACAGAAAGATGGCCCAGAGAAAAAAATGTATCAAAATTTTCACAGAAACTAATAGCAAAACAATAATCAAGTTCTGAAGGTTCTATATCCTATGACAAATGCTATGAAGTCTGATCACTCCCAAATATGGTTTAAATATCCATGCATACATGAGATCATCTTGGCAATATTCATGAAATGCTGGTCATATGCCTACCCTCTGATCATTAACTAAGTCTGTTTGGGGTCCCTGGCCAATTCAGGTGACTGAAGTTTCCCACCTTCAGCCCCGGGGTACTGCTTAGTACTTACTAATCTGTTCTCCCCAGTTTTATAGAGGTATAACTTAACAAAAGCCGTATTTATTCAGCTTTACAATGTGATGCTTTGATACATGTGTACACTGTGAAATGATTACCACAAACAAGCTAATTAACATATCTATCACCTCACGTAACTACCAGTGTGTGTGTTTTAGCGGGATAGGAGGCTGGGGTGTTGGGAACATAAAAAATCAACACTCAGCAAATTTCAGGAATGCAATACAGCATTCTTGACTATAGTCACCATGCTGTCCATTAGATCTGCAGAACTTGTTCATTCTGTATAACTGAAACTTCGTACGCTATGAACAACATCTCTCCATTCTCCACCCACCCCTTAAACCCACAGCAACTACCATTCTACTTTCTGCTTCTATGAATTAAGACTTCTTTAGATTCCACATACAAATTAGATCATGTGGTATTTATCTTTCTGAACCAAGCTTATTTCACTTGGCATAATCATAATGTTTTAGGCTGAGCGCAGTAGTTCATGCCTGTAATCCTAGCACTCTGGGAGGCTGAGGCTGGTGGATTACTTAAGCTCAGGAGATTGAGACCAGCCAGAGCAAAAATAAGAATAAGACCCTGTCTCTAAAAAAAAAAACCAGCCAAGTGTTATGGTGGGTGCCTGTAGCCAGCTACTTGGGAGGCTGAGGCAGGAGAATCACTTGAGCTCAAGAGTTTAAGGTTGCTATAAGTTACGACTCCATGACTGAGGACGACAAAGTGAGACTCTATCTCAAAAAAAAAAAAATCACAATGTCTTCTAGGTTTACCCATTTTGTCAAATGACAGTATTTCCTTCTTACTATTTAAGGCTGAGTAATATTCCATTGTACATACATACACATTGAGTATCCCTAATTCAAAACTCCAAAATGTTCGATAAAATCATTACTTTCTGAGTGCTGACATGATGCTTAAAGAAAATCCTCATTAGAATACTTTGGATTTTGGATTAGGGATACTGAGTTTTAAAAAAAGTTTTATAAAATCAAAGTATAACGTTTATCCCAGAAATAAAAGATACTCCTAACTTTGGCAGTTATAAAACAAAATGTACATTGTATTTCCATTTTTTCAGAGGCAAAAAGACACATGCCTATTAAAAGACCAAAAGAAATAAATACATCCAAAAATAGTTATTTTCAGTTGTAATAAGGAGTGATATTTTTATATGTTTATTGCTAATATTTTCTAAATTTCCTTTGAGATATGTATTATTTTTTAAAGACAGAAGGATAATACTTTTAAAAAGCCCTGTAATAATTCCTGTTTGGTTAAAGAGGCCTTCACAGTAAATTTCAAAGCCTAACAGAATTGTAGCCAAGGCCTTTTAGGATTTGGCCTTGGTTCCTTCTCAAGGCCCAACTACAGTAAATCCCTCCCATCTAGCCTGCAGCTGGCAATACAAACTTATCTGCAGCTCACTCAGTGAGCCCTTCTCTTAGTCTTTACATTTCACATATGGGGGCACTAATGCACAAGAAGCTCTTTTCTCTTTACCTTCTCAATTTACTCCTTTTTACATTCAGGGGTTACCTCTTCCCAGCTCTCTACCAGCTATCTTAATGTTAGGTCGGATGCTCATTCCTATATTTCCATACAAATCTGGGCTCTACAGCCTGGGCTACATCTAGAGGTATAGCTGTGGAAGCACATTACCCTTTGGTTGTCTCTCATCTATCGGTCTTATCACAAGATTGTGAATTTCTATCCTATAAAGGTGGTTGCAGGAAATTAAGACTGCCCCGAACTTTTTAGAGCTAAAAACCTAAGGAAGAGAGAAAAAGGGCCAGAAGTCTATCTGGGCCTAGTTGGGATGGTTGAAACCTTCCAATCAGATATTTTTTCAAGATGCAGGTTCAAGTTACTGGTAGAGATACCAGGGTAATAGGGAAAGCTGTGAGCCATCCACTCATTTCCTGAGGGACTGAATGACTATGGTAAGGTCAGCTGATACCCAAAGACAGAGCACCAGGAGAGGCCCATATTTGTGGGTGAGGAAAAGAAGAAAAACAATACGGTCCCCAATGAAGATTACAAAGTTTGCAAAAGCTATCAAAATATAATAAAATACCAAATGTAGCCACAGCATTCCCTCAGGTAAGCACACTAAGATAGCGTTATCAATGTTTGAGCGTCCACACCCTATCAAAGTTGCCCTGGAAGAAAAAGACTAACAGTAGAAAAGCAAAATACAGGGCACCTTCTACCAGTCTCAGAAGGGCCCCTCAGGTGGTTATGCAGAGGCCACACATATTAGGACCCAGGCCATACTTTTCATACCCTTCACTCAAAGAAGGCTGCACCTACTACTCTCTGCTTGACAAAAACATTTTCACCAAACTGTACTGTACCACAGCCAATGCTGCTAAAAGAGCTCTATTCTAAGAGCATCTATTTAACTAAGGATAGGATCATAGTTTGGACTCTGGACTAAAAATGACATTACAGAATATCAACTACAAGCCACCTGAGGGCACTGGGTGGACAGAAAGGGAACTTGAGCCCTTATGAGCTAAGAAACTCTTGCCAAGAACCGTAGTCTCTTCTTTTGGGCAGGCCTTAGAAAGATCTGAATGCATGTACACTTCTTAGCTGCGACTCTGCAGTACTATGCACTGCAATTATACCTTAATCCAAGGAACTCAGGTAGCTTAATACAACCTGTCTAATTAGCAGTGACCTCTCCCTTCCCCCCAGCAGACTCTAGAGATAAAACACGCATGAAATCATCTGCTGATGTCAGAGTATGTGCATGTAAATAAATTACTATCCCATATATAATTATTTGAAGACCTTATAATTTAATAGATGTGACTAATAAAAATACACAAAGTATTAACAATTTTAAGAGAAGAAAAAAGGCATTAAAGGAAGAAATTCTGAGAATACAGCTGTACAGTCTATTTAGACTGTATATACTAGCACTCCTCCTCTGGCTAAGCACATCACCTATAGCTACAGCCGTCTTTTTTTTTTTTTTTTTTTTGAGACAGGAGCCTCAAGCTGTCCCCCTGGGTAGGTGCCATGGCATTTCAGCTCACAGCAACCTCCAACTCCTGGGCTCAAGAGAGTCTCTTGCCTCAGCCTCCCAAGTAGCTGGGACCACAGGCGCCCACCACAACGTCTGGCTATTTTTTGGTTGCAGTCGTCATTGTTGTTTGGCGGGCCCAGGCTGGATTCGAACCCGCCACCTTGGGTGTACATGGCTGGTGCCTTAGCCACTTGAGCCACAGGCGCCGAGCCAGCCATAGCCTTCTTTATGCAAGCTGTAGTCATGCCCTCAGTAGAAAGGTGGATACTAGAAACTTAAGTTCTGACGATTTTAACTCACCATACTCTGTGATGACTGCATTATTCGCAGTTGCTTAAGGACAAATTCTACCTTCTTCTGGGTTGTAAGAGAAGCCAAAAAGGCATTGTGGTTCCTACAGGACAATTTAGCGTTGTCATAGCTCTCCTTGGCAGTAGTAATTTTCAAACACGAGTTTCCAACCAAATGCCAGCCAATGCCACAGATATTTTCTTTTGTAAAGGGGAAAAAGAAAAAAAAATTAGAAATCACACAAAACTACTGTATTACTAGCTCAAATTACTGAACACCTAAGTGATCTTTGTGATTTGAATTCCCAGGAACCTCATTAGGATCATGGTAAGGGTATCAGGCACATTGCTAAGGACCAAACACAGAACACAGAAGTAAAAAAATGTCTGCACTCCTATCTCCTGGATCACAACAGCATATTCTGAAGTCACCTCTCCTATGTCTTGGAAGAAAACACCAGTTTGATGTCAATGTTAGACTGGTATATTGCCTTTTAAAGAACAATAAGAAAGAAGACTAAAATCTTAAGTGAAGGGCAGACAAATGAATATGCATATTGGGAGGGTGGGGTAGAAAACTGCAAGAATAGAAATGAGTTGGAAAATGAACAATTCTACAATCTCCAAAAGCTGCATCATTTCCTTATCATCAGGGGGAAAGTACAATCAAGTACACAAAGCATCTTAAAAATGGGGTGGGAAGATTGTTCTTGGGAAAACATAAAAGTGATATGACCACAGCAGACAGGTACGCTTGTGACCTGCTCCTGGTGATCATCCTGAGCCCACACAAGGAGAAGTGATACGTGTTTCCTGGAAGACATGAATAAGCAAAGCAACTTCACCAGACCCAAAGTTCCCTGAGACTCCATCAATACTGTCATTAACAGTAACAGTTACTGAGATAAATGGAAGGCACCAGGGGAAAAAGATCATTTAAGAGCAAATAAAGATTTGCTCCCCAAGTAAGGCATCAGCAAGTTAAAATGCAGAGACCAGGACCCCACCCTAGACCTGTACTTTTTGGCAAAAGCCCCAGGTGTTTTACTATACATTAAAGTTTGAGATACAATTAAAGAACAAAAAGGTCATCCTGCAAGCTGAATGAAGTGCTTCCAAAGGACATTCAAAAGGGGTCTGGTCCAGCCCAACTTCCCTGTACACATCTCAGATGTTGCAGAGTCACAGCAGTTTCCCCTCTTGGACATCCTGGTTGAGCAAATATGTGAGCAAATATAGGTGTTCAGGCATGGCTGGCTGACCTCAGGTCCCAGGTTCATTACCCAAAACTTCAGAACTGTTATATACTGAGTACTCAGGGCTGTAGTTCACCAAAAAGTGCTGCTGACAGCGTCTCTCTCCTTCCCCTTAGAGAAGGCCCCTGAGCAGGTGCCAACAACCAAATCCCAATGGTCAATAAGAAGTACTCTTACTACCAGCAATGCTGATGGTGGAGACTGCTATGGTAGCACAGTCCCAGGTTAGCAGAGCAGGCTTAGTGATAGGAAGCCAAGCTGCCAGATTCTCCAGAGCTAGAGAATATACTTTATATTAAAGGATAGTAAGTGTAAGTATTTAAGAGCTGTATTTTAGTTTAAAACAGTAACAATCGTAATACTGGTATGAACTCTCACTTAACAGGTACAATATAAGGGTATTTGGCATACCCTCACCTTTACCCAACAGACATAAACAATGTAATGTAATCATTTATACCATATTAATTTGAAATAAAAATTTAAGAAATTTTAAAAAATATATTGGCATGAAAAGTGAATGGATAGAAGTAGCTTTTCCCCTCTGCTAGGTTCAACCTAGGCTACCCGATATTGGGAAACGGGGAAGAAGTTTTAGAGCCACACACACCAAGATGTCCCTGCAAGGCTTACCGGGCAGAGCGATGCACTCTTGATTCCGGGGCTCCCACTGGCAGTTCTGATCCAGGGCACAGCTCCTGCAGCTGGTCTTCTTATTACAATAGTACATGGGGTTATCCTTGGGGCAATTGTCATACTTGGAAATGGAGATCTAGAATACAGAAGACAAAAGCTTTTCTCTTATATCCATAGAGAGAACCCATGATGAGGGCCAATACTAAAGACAAAATCAAATCAAGGAAGCAAATTGTAAGTAAATAGATAGGCAGACACGTATACAAGATGCAGATGAAGCAGCACTGCAGTGGAAACTCTGCAATAAATGATTCTGCTCAAGGACATGCTTTAAGTGGCAAGGAAGGAGCCCACTCTTAAACATCCTGCTTCAATGTGCTTATCTATTTGCTTTTCAAATGCCCCTCTACTTTATAAATTGCATTAGGGTCAGGGGCATCTACCCTTTTTTCTTCCTCCGCCACACATTGAAAGAATAAGAGTTGTCTTGGGCCACACATTAAATACACAAACACTAATGAAAAATTATTAGCAAAAAAAAGGTCTGTGCATATTTTTTGTTTTATCTGACACCACAGATAAGCAAAAAAGTCCTCATAGAATCAGCATGCAGCCTAGGGCTGCAGGTTGGATACCTCTGCATTAGGGTGATAAAAAATGTCTTATAAGTTGTCAAAAACTATAAAACTGGGCCATCTAATTTTTTTTAGTCCTTTATTATAACCAAAATTTAAAAATTATATATAGTATACAGTGAAGTTATGTAAACCCAAGATGTAACAGAAGACTAGGAGATTTTGCAAAAGCCTATCAGTTCAATAAGAGTGGCCACACACATGATTTACTCTCAGTCTCAAGCCCTAACTTGTTACCTACCCTTGCACGGGCAGAGTGAAGTTGCCATTACAAACCTCAAACCACGGATCCAGTACTTAGTCATAGCCGTGCCCAGGGACAACAGCCCTATCTTCTCCTAAACTACCATATACATAAATCCCTGTGGCTAGCAAGACCCTTGGAATTAGCATGCATAGAGCATCTCCTTCCCCTAAGAAACCTCAGCAATAAAAAAAATCCAAATCTACGTCCATTTTAAAAATAACTCTGGGCCATTATTTATACCATAGACACTATAACCTAAACCTATACTCAATTAGGATTTTTGTATCCTCAGAATCCTTGAGAAATGGCCCCTGACCTGGCCTTCAGCGCAGCTGTGGTTCATAGGGACACAATGATCATTGCACCAGTGGCAGTCGTTGGTGTTGGCTGTGCAGCTGTAACAATCTGTGTGCTGGTCACATCTGTCATGGTCAAGAGCTATGAAGAGAAGAAAAACTCATCAATTGTGACAGCTTTGGTTGGGCACAATCTGAAACTGGGGTTGAAAAAAAAAAGTAACAATGGTTGGAAAGTAAAATGAAGAGTGAAACTGGCAGGAAAATATACTGACGTGTGCAGGTTAAAATAAGATTTAGAAATAAACAATCTAAAGAAATACTGCTTCATAGCCCCCCAAAGTACACTGAAAGCAGAAAACAAAGAGTGGTTAATTAAACAACTGTAAGATATGACAAAAGGTCTGGTTCTTTGAATACTTTTCTTCCCAAGAAAAAAAAAATACTAGTAATAGAATGAATGCCTGAAGTTGCCCAAGAGCCAAAGTAATGTAGGAGGCCAAGCCATTCCTCCTAGTTAAAAACACAAGGCTAAGTTGGGCACAGGAATCCCGCAGGAAACATTAGGCTGAGCTGCATTTTGTTTACTCAGATGTAAACTCAAGAGTGCAAGTTTGAGAACTACTGGGCTACTACAGACCTGCTGCATCTCCTGTTGGCCCTAGAAAAGAGAGGCTGCTCAACCATGCTGTCACATCTGTTGAACCATCTCGTGGACAAGTCACATGGTGGAACACAGGACAAGGCAGGGCCCACTCTCACCAAGACCCCAGCAGACTGCTCCTTAGGCTGCTCTTCCTGCCACGGTCATCATCCCAAGGATTCGGCCCACCCAGAAAGCAGAGTGAAACAGGTACTCAACACCTCAGAATAGATGACAGCAAATGGGTTCATATTCAACCACCTATGGCAAATTTACTACCATTTCCTTGCATATTTAATTTGAACTTTATAATTTGGATAAAAAAATAACTATTTCACTGATTTTATCCCTTTCAGAAGGCAATGATTAATCCTACTAGATTCTGATAATCTCTGTTTACCAGCCCACCATTGAACTAGGAAGGTTGCTTGAGTGTTCTTATTGAGATGTGTGTTCCTGAATAGCTTAAATTGGAGCATCCCAGGAGACTGACAACTGCTTCTCTCTATCATTAACTCTCATGTTAACCACCAACACCAAACCTACTTGTTAAGAAAATTTAGTCAACATACTTTAAATTGATGGGAACAAATTTTGTGTAGAGACATTGCTCTCACTTTCTAAGAACTTCTCACTTCACTGTATCATAGTGTGCTCTTTGTCAGAGCTGAAGGACAAGAAGCTAAGCAGGCAGGACCATCCTCAGCCATTGTCAGCCCTACTATCACTTTGTATCCAACCAGAGGAGCTGGAGAAGAATACTTTGCAAACACAGCCACTCTCCCTCATCCATCAGAACAATTCACTCCAACATATCTTTTCTGGGTTAGCCCTCCTCTTTTAACCTTGACATCAGACCTGCGTAATCCAATATAGTAGCCACATGGTTCTTACTTAAAATTAAAAAAATTAAAAATTCAGTTCCTCAGTCACACTGGCCACATTTCAAGTGTTTGATAGCCTCTGTGGCTAGTGGTTACCACATTGGGGTAGTCCAGAGAGAGAATATTTCCATTATCAAAAAAAAAATTCTGCAGCGCATCAGAGTAACTGCACCTGGGTTCTGAAGTTGGTATGCAAAGCCGATGCAATGATAGGAAGGTTATGTCCCCGTTATTCAAAGACAGCTTCTAGGAGCCACATGGCATGTTCCCATCCAAGATGTTTTCAAACCAATTTTCAAATACCCAAAAAGGCTTTGCTCAAGTTATTACTGAATAATTTTGGATAATAAGGGGAATAAAAAAGTGTACATATGCTAAGTTCCTCCACAATTCAGATAAAATGCAATCTCAAATTCATTAAATTCTAAATAGAGAAAAAAACATACTTCTTTTGGAAAAACATTCTGATCTCAACTTTTCTTCATGTTCTTTACTTGTCAACTCCCAGGAGATACACTGAGACAGCTCCGTGTCCCACACACACCGGACACCAGGTCCTGCTGCTAAACAAGCAACTTCAGTCCGGTGTGCATCACACTGTTCTGAGGTGAACACCAGGATGTCACTGAGGAGGAGACTGTTGAAACCACCAAACACATACATGGTGCTAAGGAAGAAAAAGACAGAGAAGGAATTTACTGAAGACTTATGTAAAAACTGCATGCTATACTTTTTACAGACAAATCTTACACATTACAAGTCCTCTACGTTTTCAAAGTTTCAAAAACCATTCTTACTCTCTCTCCTGCCAAATACTGCCCTTTCATCCTGGCCTGTGATGACCTAGAATAGTTTCTATGAGGTACTTACTCTTCACAGACTATATTAGAAGGTGTTCCTTCAGAAACTATTAGTTCCTATTAGAAAGCCTGGTGACTTTTAACCCTGAAAGGTTAAAAGGTGTCACGGTATGCTAGCACCTTTTAAACTTAAACAGTAATCTACATGTTTTTAACACTTTTTAAGTATTAAAAATAAAAATACACAATTTTAGAAGCACAGCCAAAGCCTCTATAATGAAGGCTATGTCATATTAGTGCATGAAAATGCAGACCAACCAGAAACAGATAAAAGGCAAATGGAAATTTAGTACACAGTAAAAGGAGCATCTTAGTGGGGAAAAGACAAACTTTCAGTAAATGATGGCAAGATAAATAAACTTATATAAAAGATGAAACTGAATCTATTTCTCACTAGGTATCAGGATATATTCCAAATGGATCACAGAACGACCTAAAAAAAAGAAACCACACAAGTCCTAGAAGAATGGGTGAATTCTCTATAACTTAAGAATGGAGAAGAATCTCTGACTTAAAATATAAGAGGTAGGGGGAAAAAGATTGAAAATTTTTTTTTTTTTTTTT